TATATCTTGTCATAGTATATTATTCATCGACCTTACATCCACAGCAAAATGCTTTTTCTTGTCTGTTTTCTGCTTCCTACAACAAGAATATCCATATATACTAAAGCATTTGCAGAATGAAATTCCTATTCTATTGAATAAAATTATCCTTTGTCCTCCATCACGTAATGTCAAAATCAGAGTTAAAACAATGTGTGCTAGAAGTTATATAACATTCTTTCAAAACTCCAGACCCATCAAGAATGGAAAACTATATTAAGCTAAAAATTCTCTTAGTTTCTACATGCCAAGAGATCATTAGATCCTATAATCAAATTATGACTTTTATTTGAATTCATTGAGGTGGTAATTAAATGCTCACTCTATGAAAATTTTCAGTTTATTTTCAAGTGTCCACTAACACATAAAGGCACGGAACAAGATTAGAAGAAATAGATAACCAGTGTTAAAGCCAGTGAGCAAGCACATTTCTGTCAAGTAATATGAACTAAGTTGCGTTGGTTGACATTTTCTGTGGGTACTTAGTAAAAGTTCGGTGTGTTTATAGCACTCTCTGAAATGTGGGATAAAGGCCCATTAAATTGACTAGGCCTATGATCACACAATAACTTCAAAATAGATACATGGGCTGCCGTCCCATTCCTGAATCCTCATACTGATAATATATTAGGCCCCAATAAGAAAGATAAAAGAGGCAAAGACGAGCTGACCAATCAGCCCACAAAATCACCGTCAAGATTTCAACAACTTCCCGCTGCATCAGGTTGATTTATACTCGTATTTAGCATTCTTGTTTATTTGTTTTTGTTTTGACCACTTTCGTTTGCGGCATTGAGTTTTGCTTACAATATTTCCAATTTCTGGTGAGTTCCGTTGATTGATGCCCATTCAGAAAAGGTATTTTGTATAGTTATTGGACGCCTATATGATGCTCGATGAAATTCATGAATGTGATGGTTGTGGACTGCGATTCAAATCTAACTGTATTTAGGGAAAACTGCGTTACTTATTTACTTTTAAACATCTTGGAATCTTGATAGTAATTGTCTTAAGGAATTAGTTTTCTTTATGTTTATCATTAGGGTTTTGCGAGTTCATAATATGGTTTAGAAATTTTCACTGGACCTGTGGATTTTTTATTTAATCGTAATTTTGTATGATTAGATTATGCTTACTTTTATATGCTTTACTTACCGTGCGGATTGAATCTCGTCACCTTCGTAACAAAGCTTGGTTCAGTTAGTTCAATTTCAACGACACAGTTCGACATTATACCATGGATCCACGTTACACTGGAGAAATATTGAAGTAAGTCTATTTATATTTGTTTTGAATTTTATAAAATATAGAAATCTGTTTTGAGTTACATTTATTTTTTTGTTTTTATGTGTGCAGGCATTTGGAGAAGCAGAATGAGCTTCTTACTGAGGTCCACGGATCAATGTCTCATGAATTGCATGAACTTCAGGTTCTTTTTTAGTACTCTGTTCTTGAGTTTTGATAAGCCTTGTCATTTGATGGCTGCTAAACTGAAGCAGTCTTAATGCAAACAAATATAGATAGCTGTGGTTGAGCTTCTAATTTTTTAGACTGATTTTCCATCTTCATTTTTTGGTCTTTATGTGGAAAAATAATTATGTTAGAAGAGAATTTTTGAGGCTCCACTCCAATTACAAATTTAAAGAGACAATTACATTGCACCATAATTTTATGCAATCAAAGGCTGCACTAAAATTTCATGTTTAATGATTTGCAGGTTGAGGAAGAGATGTTGATGCGTAAATTTTATGAGCTTATGACTGCACAGGGTCTAAATAAAAAGGTATGTTTATCTCCTGAAATGTGTCACTATGAAGGATTTGTTGTGTGTGTATCTGATTATTGTTTCCAGTTTTACTGGAAGAGCTTCTTATTGCTATATGCAACTGTGGCACTTGAAATAGAGATAGGAAGTGTGTCTTTTATTTTATTTTAATTTGCAGTTTTTTGTTATTTATATATGTGGCAGGCAGTTTTTTTCCCCTCTTAATTCGTCATTAGGGATAATGAGTAAAATTACTGTACCGACTACTTAGAGTAGAAATAATGGAAGGGCTTAATGGCTAAAAATAGCACATGAAAATAATTTATACAGTGATTCTGAGCACTAAAACTTTTAACTGATATTAATAGAAGCGTCTCTATTGAGTTTTTGATGGTGGACAAAGGTTGCGTTTTGGTTTTATGAACTCAATTTTTTATCGCTGGGCTTGTATTCAGTTGGATTAGGATCATATCTTGCCAATCCAAAAGAAAAAAGAAGTAACAGAGAGAAGTTGATTTTTTTTTGCATATAATTGACTTTGGAAGGTTAAATTGTTTCTGCAGTTTATAATCTAAGGTTTTTTGCAATTTGATTTAAGTCTTGGTGGTTTCTTTTTTGTTTATTTCTATTTGTCTAATATAGTTTTTTTCCCTGTTTTTTGACTCAGAAAGAAGCCACTGTTAATGTTTCAGATGATGGTGAAGAGGGAAACTCCACTGCTTTAGTTTGTTTAACTAGCAATGATCAACAGTGAGGATGTCAAGTTTGTTCAGTTTTAATCTATTGTTTCAAATTTTGTTAATATGAGTTTTTTCTGCTTCAATTTGGGCTTCAGCAGTGAAAGAGTTTCAGGATTCTTTATTCGCTTATAAGCACATATTAATTGTATAGGAGCTTTAGTTTCATTTTTCAACAGAGAGAAAATGTTTGTTACAAGGAATGGCTTGTTAAATTGAGGATGTAAATATGCATTTTTGAGTATCCCTGTGGTCAGCTCTCCATTGGGTTTTGCTTCTCTCGGTGATCTTCTAGTCTACTTTTGTCACTCATCTCATATTTAATTTTACTATAAAATCTGTAGTTAGAAGAAAAAAAATGCAGCCCTCGCCCAAGTGCTTATATGCTGATATATACTTTGGTAAAGAATTTTAATTTGTGTAGCCGTATGATAGAATGTGGGTATCAAGAGTAAGAGATCTCATGACCATCTAAAGAGGGTACTGCTTTTCCTTCGTTTGTGTGTATAGCCTCCTGAGTATGACCTCT